AAAACCAGATAAGCAATAGTTCTCAGAGAGGAATGGTTCTAATGTAGTCAAAAACAACCTTGTAAGCAACATTGTTTGCGCTGAGCTCTTTGCCTACAAATGCCGCCATTTGTGCTTCGAGGAAAGTCATCAATAAATTGGCTCCCGAAGCGTCGACATTTTCGTAATCATATCTGAAATACAACCGTAATAAACTCGGGCATCGTCTATGAAACTATGCTTCCTTGCGAAGGGCAATGATACTTCGCAAAGTCGTGAGAATCACCTCGTGAAAACGTTTCTCCCATAGCGCTTCCACTGCTCTTTCACAATATCTTCTACTGAAAGTTTTTTATCGGCTAGAATTTGCAACCATGCTAGCATGGCCCATACACCGTCCTTTTCCCTGCAAATAAGTTCATTTTGCGTCATTTGGATTTTAGAGCAAGGTTCAAGCTTGCCTTATGTGATCACTACCAGTTCCAAAAGACTCTTCACCACATAAATATATGCGTCCGGCATCCATCAAGTTGCCAAAATATTTCCATCCCGTAGGTGTCTCGAAAACCTAGAACAATAACAAAATAGCTTACAGTGCCTGCAACAAGTAGTTAAGTGGAAACCCTTAAAGCTACCCAGCGAAAAACAACAGACTTTTACAAAGGCTGTTAAGTAGGACTGGTGCGACCGAAGTGCTGTGAAAAGTGTTTTGTTTCACTGTTCTCATTTCATGCTCTTGTGTTGACTCTCACAAGTACTTCGCGCACTTTTAACAACGATCAGTCGCAGAGTCATTTATACCAGTACCAGCTGATTAGTCCATTTCAGTACCACTAAAACTCATTACCGATGTGAGAACAGAACCTACCTCCAAACCTTTGGCTTTGGCAACTAGATCTACAGCACCAGCCGTAGGCATGGAACGTGCGAAACCTAAATAAAAAAAAATGCTTGGGTATATCATATTTGTTAGGATGAGCAAGGCAATGGTTACCTGCCACTTTCTTAGACTGGAAATAGGGAATACAGCCTAGGTTATCAGCAATTACAGCGAGAGAATCGCTCGGGGTAACGAAAAATCCATTCCTTCCTAGGATCATATTGCGATCCTAAACCCAAACAGTAATAACTTTATAAAAGACATGTGAAGATATGATGGTACCAAGATAACCTACCCCATCGCCATCAAAAGCTGCTCCAAAATCATGCTCTCCTCTTCTTAGCTGTTCAACCAGGTTTTTCGCATAGGTTAGATTAGGGTCAGGATGGCCACCACCAAAGTCCGGTTTCGGAACAGTCCTGAAAAAGAATCATATAAAGCTGCTCACCGAGATTGCCTTGAAAATCCGGATTACATAGTTGATCATATAATCATGCGATTAGCCGATACCGATATAATGCCCAATCAAAAAGCTCATTTACTGAACTGTATGACATAAAGGAGTCATAATGAAGAGGAAAACTACACAGTGGCAGCGTACTGCTGAAATTTACGTTCATTGCGTGGTCTCTAAGGGAGGATGAGCTAAGCGAAGGCACATTTTACACATACCTCAGCAGACCGCGAGATTCGACTCCAAGGTGGTCACACAAGATGGTAGACACGTATGGGCCAGTCGCTCCATGCATAGAGTCGATAAGGACTTCAAATCGCTTTCCAGTGAGCTCACCAGAAATGAGTTTCTTGATCTGAAACAAAGAAAATCCATAGTATAAAACACATCAGAATGGTGGAATGCGTATTCTGACTATGGAACGAGTCCTGCTCAAAACTACCTTTGTAATTCAACACGCACTGTGAAGAAACTGTGTTGGACCCTGATCATGATTTCCACGTTTGCAAAACGATTTGAACAAACTCATGGTGGTAAGTTCTCTACACTTTTGAACAGAGCGAGTGAAAAGTCGCTGAAGCTGTCGACTACGCTCTCCATCGCCCTCCAAAGATCCGAACCCTTGATATTTGCCTGCAGGCCTGCCTTAGTAACAGCTGAGCTGCTGTTTCGTGGCTGCAATTGCGCAAGTGCCACAAACATTACTCCTCCTCCTTGTTCTGTGGTGTGAAAAAAGGCACTGCCATTGATTCATTCAATGAAACTTAGCAGTCGAAAATGGTGTTGGTATGTTTAACTATGAGTAGCTACTTCAAATTAAGGCCGCTATATGGGGAGCTGAATTCAGCAGGATAAGTCCTTTCCTTCATGGTGTTTCTCTAATGATCTGCATTTGACTTTTCTGTATAAGAACACACTTTAGATTGTCAAAATGACGTGTGGGAATAAATTTGGCATGATTGTAAAGAAAGCTAAATAGAATTTTTTCAAAAAACTATTTAACAGCGAGTCGTTTGATTATTTCAAAACATCTCTTAGTTGTGCTTACCCTATTTTTCTCTTATATTGGATTACCCTAATTTTACACTCTAAATGTACTCTCCCACCTCCCTATAGTCCACTTGATCCAGAGGAAAACTACGAGCCCCCTCTATCGCGAATCCCGCAATGAAAGTTCAAAACCACCGAAGCCGTTAATTTTTTCACATCACTGCATGCATCAACATAATCAATTTTGAAGTCAATAAGATGTCGTATTACACATGAGAGGACAAATCCGCGGCAAATACTGTATCTTGAGAGTTGCTGTTTGCACTCTCATGTTCTTATATTACAGCCACTTGGTTTAAACTCGCTAAGAGAGTGAGGACAGCATGAATATTAAAAATGGTTAAAACAGTTAAACAGTAGGGGNGGGGACTAGTGTAATTAGAACACATTCCTCGAAACCGCATCCCCTCTTTACCTCAGAAGAAAGTTTTCAAATGAACGACATGCTGCTTTTGACGTGTAAAGAAGTTCAATAAAAGAAGCGCACAGGATAGGTTTTGGAGCCTTACTTATCAAAGGCGTAAAGCAGAAACAAATTACACTACCTTGGCAAAATCGAAGATTTTTTGCATCAACTCTACATAATCCTTCACAGAGTCGATAACATCCACGACGAAGTGTCCGACATTGTCTACATCGAACTCACTCCTGAAGAAAAGATCATCAATCATTTACTCGAAACTAATGCCTCGGGAACTAACCTTCCAATTTGAGAAAAATCGCATTGCAATTCCGAACAGATGGTGTAGGTAGTCATTTGTGTGGTGATATTATATATAGCATTCGTTACCTTAAATCTAACAAATTCAACCCGAGCATTACTTACAGTTCCACTTTGTTACTCTAAGACAGAGAATGCTTGAAACTCACAGCGTCAGGAGCTGGGCCTCCATTTTCACAGTTGAATTTGATGCCAAAATCACCTTTGGGTCCACCTGGGTTGTGGCTAGCAGTGAGGATGATGCCTGAACAAATAAAAATGGCAAACTGAGTTACGGGGTTTAGTAAAATATGCACCTCCATCAATCTTTTTTCCTTCAAATCCCTTTCTGATCAAATTGGAGACTGCTGGTGTTGACAAGAAACCATTCTGTCCAATGATCAAATGAGCTACCTAAAAGGTGGAAGTTCGTGAGAGAGACCGCGTCCTATAATAAAGTAGACTATCGATATTCAAATAGTATTTACTAACCCCGTTTGCCGCAGCAATTTTTATTATGACGTTTACAGCCTCCTTTGATAAAAATCTTCCGTCTCCACCGACTACAAGGGTGGCACCCTTCTTTTTAGATCCAAGACCTCCGTCCAAAACTGCTTGTATAAAATTTTCGGTGTAGTGTTGCTGTTGAAATTCAGGAACCTGAAAAGAAAAAACAGCGATCTATTACAACTGCTGATTAACGATTTACTTTTATGATTTATAGAGCGTAACGGTCGAGACCTGGTGATCCAGGAGGGTTCTGTGAATTATTCAATTTTCACCAAAAATGGATCATGACTGCCAACCCTAACAAAAAGTCAAAATACTTATGAAGATGGTAATTTGCATAATTAATCAGCAGGGAAAAGCTGGGACATTCTCTACCAGCTACTTTCGAAACTTGAAATTAAAGTTCAGTCTTGAGGCTAAAAATGCTCGAAACCATTATCAAAAGTTGAAATGTCATTTTAACCCGCTACCGTTGATGCATAACGTTACCCCTAATCTGAAAAATGGACATCCAATAAGAGCAAATATACAGTTAAGCAGTTCAAACTTATGTAGGTACACTTACCCTTTTTCTTAATCCACTTGTTCCTGGTTTTTGCCCTTGAAAAGGCTTTGTTTGCACAGTCTCCACTTTCACCATTCCTGAACAAGCAATATGAATTGTAGCAGATCCCCGTTTGCAAGAAACGGAGCCCTTCGCATTTTTGGATGCATAATCGACTTGACGAAATCAAGATGAAGCAGAAGATGATTTTTTAGGAATTTAATGAAGAACAAGCGAGCTCTTTGTGAAATAATATACATTACAAACTCGAGATAGAAGCGAAAGGATACGCACATTAAGTCTGTTCGGAACTTTTATTGGAGCATACCAAATTTTTCAGAAGGTTGAAAACTAAGGTAATTGTGTAGAACGTCACTGAATACTGAACCAAGTGGAACTAGCCTTTGCAAGCGCAGATTCTCCACTTGTTACTACCTCTCCAGTGGGTACGCTCGATAATAAAGGCAGAGATGCAGGGCAAGGCTCTCATTGATAAGACGGTTGCACATATGTTTTTTTGAAGAGGGAAGGCACTATTTCTCTGGTGATCAATGGTACTGGCAAAAACAGTCTTGTGCTAACCGTGTCCAGCAGTACCAAAAACTTACACCTCCGATTGCGGCCATTGTTGATCGATCAAAGAGTAGGTCTCGGTATTCATAATAACTTGAGATTGAAAAGGAGAACTAGTCAAAACGCTACTTTGGTCTCTGATAGTCTACACAACCTGTCCTGTCTTCGACGCAACACACAATAGAGAAAAATATTGATGGATAAGTTGTCAATGCCGATTTTCTTTCCCAAGCAGTCTCATGGGTTATTGATACAGCGCTACTGCACAAACGTGCAAATGCAGTACGTGCCGAATCACGTAATATCTGACAGCAACTCAACTATCCACCTTACGACGTAATTACTTATAGAAACATGAGGAAATTACAATGTGGCACCGAGATAAGCATTCGAATTATTCCTTATAAAAACCTCATCGATATGATAAGTGACCTTGACCTCGAGCAAAAGCGAATTTTAAAAAGGCAACTTCACAAGCTATCCCCTCTACTTTCACAGGTACAATTCCAAGATGAGATTGAGGAGGGATGGGAGTGAGGTTCTGTTAGATTACGAACTCAGAAGGTGTATAGACAAGTTCTAAGAGGGAAAGCAATGGAGAAGAGAATGAGAGCCAGAGAACTCCCAAGCATTACACACACATCTGATTACCTGGAAATCAGAGCCATAGAGTTTCCGAAAAAAACGAAGATTGATGCAGCACAATGAAAAAATGCAGCTTCAATATCACGTAAAACCATACAACATGATCAGTGATTAACTTGATGTTTGGTCTAGCGATCAAAGTAAACATCAATGTTATTGAAATTCATAGGCAGTAAACAAATACCACCTGTTTGACCAAAGCACGATAGGCATGCAATATGAATAATGCCGATCAGCAACGCTTGAAGATTTTCAAAACATAAATGATGTTATGGGATGGAATGAATACAACAATGGAGGATGGTACTTGTAGAAACCTCATCGATAAGACAGATGACCTTGAACCACAGCAATTTGGAACGCTCTGCAAGCTATCTGCTACTTTTTCCGGCAGAGTTTTGAGCTACCCCGCATATTTCGAATTGAAGCTATATACACCTCTGCAACTCAGAAAAATAGCTATTACTTAGAAAAAAAAANNAAAAAAAAAACAACCGCAGAGATGCAGAGAGGCGAAGGGTTTTGCTGAAAGGACGTGGGTGCTCAAAAAGTCAACGTCCGTCGTGCGACCGCGCGCTTGCAATCAGAGCAGATTTGTTGATGCCCAGGCTGAAAGTGCTCCGTACCCCTCACGTTCAATACAAGTCTGTACATTTAGCTTAACAGATCGAAACTTTATAATATGACTCAATCAACTTGAGAGATAAGAAGACCTGGTTGACCTGAACGAGCTTCACTGAGCTACGGATCCATTTTTTAGTGGGAAAGCAGTAGTTTCAGAGCTTTTGGTACCCCCTAACCTCCCAAACCCCTTTTCTGTCATTTTATCAATTTGTTTTGCTCATGTTCCCCTTGAACCATGTCAGGAGCTCCCTGATGCCCCGTCCAAGTGTTTGTGACACTGCGATACCCCGTCTGGGTTAGAGATCCACAGGCCACCTTCGGCCGTCTTCCATGGCATATCGCGTCTCCAATATCCTTGAACTGGGCATATGGGTATCGTATGCCACAAATATGACAGAAACGGAGGAATAAAAAGTCCAGTCTTATTGAGTTACTCACCTTGGAAGAACGAGCAGTGAACTGTGCCGAGAAGAGTCCGTCAACTACTGACGTTGCCGCAAGCCAAAACCCAGCGATTCAGGCGTCTTTGGCTTTGTAATGTGTACAACTCTGATGAAAAGTGGCCGTGTTCATAGTGATGACCTCGTTCAATCTTTTTCGGGCTCCCCAAGAAATTTTCGGATGGGAATGCGGCGGCTTGCAAATATAGTGACCATTCATTTTTCTGTATGCGAGATATTACACCATGAACGAAAGAAAAAGAATATATCACTATCCTGCGCTCCACTTTAATAGCATAATGACTTTCTGCCATTGCCCTGAAGCCTAGATGATTGACGTTGGAATATACACCTTACAGATGAAAAGTGCAAGCGAAAGTGGACCAAATTGAAGAATACGAGTGCAAAAAAAGGCCAACATACCGACGCTTCACCAGCAAACATCCTTTGTCTTCCCCCAGTCGTTTGACTTGTATATGTGTATTTTATACATTTATGTACCGTATATGTACATATTTATTCGTACCCCCCTCCCCCCACACCTCCTTCCGAGTAGTGGTACGGGAAAATAGACGTCTGATTTCCCTATCAATTCGCCTAACTGAGGGAGTGAAACAATGCAAAACCTGAGATTTTCATTTCAATAGAGAGATAAAAACTTGTCCGAATTAATGATGTACATATCAGCCACAGTCATAAACAATTATAAGCAAAGCTGAACAACAATAAACATCGCCTTCATAATTTGCATAAGGAAAAAGTGACCTACAAACAATTTATCCCCTTATACTCAAAGAAAGATATGACCCTAATTTTTTCTCACTTTCATCATTATCATCTTCGTGTTCTTTGTCAGAGTTTATGTGCCTTCGATGCCTATTCAGTGGTAATCCATTTCGGATCTTTCTCGTGGCGTCGTGAAACAACGAGCAGGCACTGATAAACCATCGGAAGTGAAGTCTCTACAATATATGAAGCTTCATTAGCCAGTAAAGCAGCATGGGAATGACAGAAACAGCAATGGTGTGGTATTGTAAGCAATAGCAGGCACAGCTTCAGAACCAAACGCTTGCAACTCCTATCAGTAATACCTTTAACATAAATACTACACCATGGGAGGTGCGCCCCCACGATTAATCGAAACTAAGCGCTTTAAAGGCACAGTTCACGACAACTTTGGATAAACCAGATTATGGACGGAAAATGGAACTAAGATGGAAAATAGTGCGATGAAGGCGAAGAAAGTGCGTGAATCAGTGCTTCCAAAGGAAAAAAAAAACGCTTAGAAAATCGTCAGAAAGGGGGTTGGACGAGAATGAGACCAAAAAATGAAAATGGGGCTTTT